AAAAAAAAAAAAAAAAAAAAAAAAAAAAAAAAAAAAAAAAAAAAAAAAAAAAAAAAAAGTTTTGCGAAATCAAAACAGAAGAAGTATGTGCGCGTTTGGTAATACAAAAATTAAATACTTTTGTATTAATAAAAGCATTAAAACTTCATTCCTTTTCATTAAATATCTTTAGTAAAAGATAAGGGTAGAAATTCTATTTTGGGACTTCAAGGCTAAAAACATGCCAATGAATAATAATTAGATTAATACTTCAAAAGAGAAGTTATTTTAAGATCTTTCACTTCCATATAAGGAAAGATTAAACGATTTTCTATGAGTAATAAATAAATTTGATGAGGCGTAAGAATGCAGAAAAGGCATATGACTGGACTTTTTTACACTGTTTAATCATCCTATAAAACGCAGGACCGAATGTTTTTGCGTGGCTTTTTGTTGTTTATCATGCTTAAATAAAATCCGTCAGCTTAGACGGGATATGGGTCTCCCCCCATCTCCGTCTGGAGAGGGGTGAAACTGTGATATATATATATATATATGTTTAAACACAAGTTTTATATTTATTTATTATTATCATTATTGTTTTCAAAATTTCCTATCAATTCAGCATACTAACTTATCGTATCGTTATAAAGCAAGAAATTTTAAGGCAAACATAGAATTTCTAACTAAAATGCTTTACTTCAATTTTTATTCGGTTTTGATAATTAGTCATAAACCGAGGTATAAAAAAATTAACTAATTTAAATCTATTGGGATACTTTCTATGTTTAACTATAAATGAATTCTGATATTAATTGATGTTTATATTTTTCTTTTCAGAGTTGTAACGGCAACAATTAAACAACTGTAACTTGTCACATATTTTTATTTGTATTTTAATTTACTTTTTCAATAAAATAAATAAACTTTGTAGGATTTATTATTTATTCTACCTTATAGAGTAACATTTAAAGTGTTGTAACACAGGGGGGGGGGATTGAAAATTAAACCAAACAGACATCACAAGAACGGTCAATAAACAAAACTGAAAAGTATTTCTTGTTTAATACCTTCACCACTTGGACTGAACCCCTGACCTTAGGATCTGAAGCATGTATGTCTGACCAACTTTCTATTCAACTATTTGACTGAACAAAAATCAGGATTCTTTGTCATTATTACAGATTTGTGGTATTTGGAATTCCCTCAAGCATCTGCTGGACATCCAGCAGACACTTTAAATTTTCTTTATAATTATTTGCACCGTATAAGAATCATTTAAAGCCATTTTTAGGAGAAAAGAGAGGGAGTCATAATTTCGAAAAGTGCCTGGAAATACTTACAGAACATTATTTAGAAATCCAAACTTCGTCAAAAATACCAGAAATCTGCAGTAAATGTCATGTGTAGACATTAAGAATCTTTTAATATCTTTAATGTAATTTATAAATGTGTATAGTTAATCATTTTTGGTGAGTGGAATTTCCAACTTATATTATCTTATCTAATAGTATGAAACCGTTTGAAAAATATAACAAATTACAAAAAAATAATGGTTATTTATGTATGTGTTATATGGTAATATTGAGGTACTCATAAGTTCCGGAGTTAGGTAAAAAACCTACTACTACAGTACCTAGATTAAGACCTATATTGGTACAATAGGTTCTTATTACCACAGCAATCTATAACGGCAATACCAGTATTTTTTAATACCGCATTTATTTAAGCATTACAGGCGCCAATAATAGTTAGGCGATTTTTACGGACTTAAAAATAAGTACTGATAATAGTAAGATGAACTAAATGAACTAAATGTACTAATATACTAGGTCGCCTATTATAGGTATAGGTGGAGAAATGTATCAGAGGAAAATGTTAATCATGGTAGTTTTTTTACTATCTACTATGGTTGATATCGAATAATAGGACGAACTTCTGAAAGCATATTTTGCTTAATATGATAACATGAATACACCAATAAAGGCAATAAAAAAAATAATATAAATAAATAAAGTATAAAATATAGATAAATTGGACCGATGTTTCATCTTGACTAATTTTGTTAGTTTCTGAGTTTTCTGCATGATTTAGTAGTGTTGATCAACTTTTGATTACATATTTATTTTTCAACCTGTATAAAGAACGGGTATTCAGCTATTTGATTAATGAAGCAAAACGAAAACAAAGGGATAGGAGAATATACGACAATATAGCACAAACGAAAGTGCAAAAAAAGACATACTACAGATTTGATTCTACGAAACGGAACGTTCCTCGGTGTCTAAACCCCAAATGACTGTAGAGATGTAAAGAAACAAACTAGTGCAAAGTGATTTTACCAATATGGAACATAGGTGGAGGCAAAACTGAAACAATTTGCACTAGTTTGTCGATTTACTCCTATACTATAATTTGGTATTTAAACACTGAGGAAGGTTTTTGTTTATAAAACCGAAACTGTATTATGGACATTTCCACATAGACTATAGACACTTTCACTTATTGTGCTCTATACTTAATTCAATACATAGTCTACATAGTTCAAAGATTTCCCTATCCTTTTTAACTATAGGTAATGTTTGTTGACAAAAGGTAATATTTAAATAGGTAATATTTGTTGTTGTTCTTATAGTAAGTACCTTCAAGCCTTTATTAATATATTATTTGATATCCATTAAATTAGGCAGCACCAACAACCATGAGGATCAATACCTTCTTCGTCTTCTTCTTCAGCACGACAGCCCCTTACAGGCCTTGGCTGCCTCAACCAGGCGTAGCCTCCAACGCCTCCTATCCATGGCGACTTTTTTCCAGTTGTTAATCTTTATTACTTTGAGATCTTTAGTAGTGTCATCCAGCCATCTAGTTGGAGGTCTTCCTCTGGCCTGAGATCCAGAAGGATTTTTAAAGGTGGCGATTCGTACTACATTGTTTTCTGTACCTCTCCAGATATGGCCAAGATATTTTAATCTATTGCTTCGAATGACCTGCACTATCTGTGGCTGTCCATGGAGTCTATATAATTCAAAGTTGTATCTGATTCGCCAACAGTCTCTTCCCTATACTGGGCCAAAAATATTTCTAAGCATTTTCCTTTCAAAAAACACAAAGAGTACGCTGAGTGTCTGCGTTTAGTGTCCATGTTGNCTCCTATCCATGGCGACTTTTTTCCAGTTGTTAATCTTTATTACTTTGAGATCTTTAGTAGTGTCATCCAGCCATCTAGTTGGAGGTCTTCCTCTGGCCTGAGATCCAGAAGGATTTTTAAAGGTGGCGATTCGTACTGCATTGTTTTCTGTACCTCTCCAGATATGGCCAAGATATTTTAATCTATTGCTTCGAATGACCTGCACTATCTGTGGCTGTCCATAGAGTCTATATTATTCAAAGTTGTATCTTATTCGCCAATAGCCTATTTCCTAAAGTGGGCCGAAAATATTTCTAAGTATTTTTCTTTCAAAAACACCAAGAGTATGCTGAGTGTCTGCGTTTAGTGTCCATATATCACTTGCATAGAGCAATACAGATAGAATAAGAGTCTTATAAAATTTAATTTTGGTTTTTCGACTGATTAGGCTTGATCTTAATTGCTTTCTTAGTCCAAAATAAACACTTGTTTGCCATTTTAATTCGGTTGTCGACTTCTGTTTTTATGCTGTTTTGGTCATTGATCATTTTTCTAAGGTATTTGAATTCATTAACCTTTTCAAAGGTGTAACCATTGAGGTTTAATACCACTAATACTATTAACCAAAATTAAATTAGTCATGAAATATAACTTGGCGATTTTTTACTGTTTCCCTAAACGAACAAGTTTTATTTTCCATTTGAATCCTTACTGTCCGAAACATAATGGCACAATCAACTTTCCACGTCATCTAGCTAAACTGAATTCAGAACTCATTTCATTGACATTGACTCATTTTTGCAGATATGTGGAACTTTATATTCAAACAGTGTACATCTAGAAAACGATTTTTTTTAAAGAAAACTATATTTTTGAGCACCCCAAGAATCACTTAAACAATATTTTCAGATGAAAGGAGAGGGAATCAAAATTTCGAAAAATACCAACAAGTACCTGGAAACACATAATATACAAACGTTGTCCAAAACGCAAAAAAACTGCAATACATGTTATTTATGGACAATTTAAGAATTATTTTAAATTTATTTTATTTTATAACACTGCCACAGATAACCGTTCATAGAGTGGGCCACATTCACACATCACAGGACAACGCACAGTGGAAAACGTCCACGTCCTTACCGGGATTTGAACCCGCAACAATTGGCTTCATAATCAGGCATGCTAACCACCCGGCCACCTGGTCTGCATTATTGAATTGTAATGAAATATTTTCATAAATAATTATTTGTGAAACTGAGTTTGCTATCATGAATTCGTTATGGCAGGATGAAACTGAAACGAACCGAAATTAGTTTCATTGTTGAACAAATTTTATGTTGCATTTATGCAAATGCTTGGTATTGTCGAATTCGGGTGTGGGGATATCAAACCTATAATTAGTTCTATTCCTAAATCTACAGATTTTTTTTGACTGACATTTTAGTCTACTTTTTGTCGAAATGTACAAGTTTAAACACGTTATGTATGGCAGGGGTTCACGTAAATGTTTAGACAAACTTCTCGAGGAGGTAGAGCACATCATCAAGATTAAAATTGCATAGAAAACTATGTCCTGAAATGTCATCAGACGCGGCTGGGGGCGTTTCCTTTTTATGAGCTGTTGTTTTGCGGTATTCTGTCATAATGGGGAAGCTCCCCTAGTTGCGTATGACGTCATTTCCTGGCATGGGTATCTATGCAGTTTTAATCCTGATGATGTGCCCCAACTCCACAAGTAGACTAAAAATGTCATTTAATAAAACTGGAACTCGGAGAGAGAAACCAATTTAAAATCAGCGGCACTAAAGCATCCAAGTGTTAAAAAAAATCTCATGCAGCAGAAGAAAAAAAATTGTTCCCCAGTGTTTCTCATTTTTGATTGACATACGCTATTTTACTTTCCTATTTATTTTTTGAATACAACAGACATCAATGCTTATTTATAATGAACTCAATAAGACCTAAATAAAATAATTTCTAAAAGACTTTTTTTTAATATTTTCTAATAAATATAAGTTTGATAATAAAATAAGTTAATTAAATAATTGTTTGAATTCATTCTACAAATACTCAATCTGCATTTCTCAAACCTTTTTCTACATTTTTATTTTTACAAACAAGTTTGCATAAGTTTTAGATAAGATGTGTATTTTTCTTTCAAAAAAAAGTATGCGAATGAAAAACTACTAGTTATTTAAATATCTTGAACAAAAATTATCATATAAAAATTTTTTAAATATTTTGAATAATTCAAATTGCACGACATTAATTGTGTAACACAGTTAAAAATATAAATTTTCCACGACTGTTTGCTAAAAATGTTTAATCAGTTGAAACTATCAAGAAATTGCTCGATAAAACTATTACTTCAATACAAATCATTAAATGTAGTGGGAAAAACTCCCTCTATTTAATGTGATGGTTATGAAAATTCCCTCTCTAAATCACAGAAACGAGGAAGAACATTTATGACAATAACAGAGTAAAAATAAGAGGGCTTTTAAAATTGTTGCTAAAAGCATACTTAAATTACTATTACTTTCGACAGTGAAATCTCTTCCAGGATGTGATTGTTAATGCTTCCGCCTATGAATAATGATGAAAAAGCAATAAAACTGTTGCTTTATGTCCCGTGGTCCGTGTTGCAATCATCTGCTTTGATGCCTTTATTTGTTCATAAATATTTTCCCTGCGTGAAAGTGTGTTAAGATGGTTTGCAACCAAGGACGAAGTATATTGTTATTATTAATAATAAAAAACACACATTGTAAAACATATGATGCACGCTGTGTTGAAGAGA